AATGGGTAAGCAGGTGGCACATGCTGTTGGAGAATGGCTCAAGGAGAAAGGTCACAGTGGATCCAGAAATCCCCTGTGTCCAGAAAGTCAATTGTGATAGTTATGGCCTAGGATAGGCCTGAGTCCTTAACATTTCTACTGCTGCAGGCTGACGAGGCCAGGACTGTTGTAGCAGTGGAAAAGCACTGAGGATTGAGCAACAGTGGAAAGCCCCGGAGTGGAAAGTACCGAGAGCAAAACTTGTAACTTTGTTAATACCTTTAGGCTTATAACCTATCAGCTATCGCCAGGTCCGAGAGCAAAACTTGTAACTTTGTTAATACCTTTAGGCTTATAACCTATCAGTTATGCCAAGTAGAAGCTAATAGCCAATCAGTAGCTGACTAGTGGATACAGTTATATATAAAAGGGAGTGTACCGAGCAAATAAACGAAGTCTGCTTATACCTCATATTGAGTCTGCTTGCATTCTTCCTCCGCCGAGAAAAGGTAGCACTGATTCCGGACCAAAGACCCTGCTCAACTTTTTCCCGCACATGCACCACTCCTAATTTTAGTACCGGAAAGAAAGCAAAGTACTTCTTAATGTACCAGCCCCTTTGACAAAAATTAACATTAAAAGACATCAACTATTTTTTTCCTTCCCCCAGGATATGTTAGCTTTTGTCAGCAACATATGAAAGAACTTGGCAAAACATGGGAGACAATTTTCCCCTCAGAAATAAGACACAGCTTTGGAACTACATTCAAAACTAAGCAGACAAAAACACCTCACTACATCCAAGCCATACTAAACACCTGGAGATAAAGAAGTAACAGAATTAGTGTTTGTATTTTGGAGGGATTCAAGAACACACCTAAGATTACTTAAGAGTACTGAGTAACACATCATCTAAGGCTGCAACTACAGCCACTGTCAGCCCATCACACACCACTCTTGGATAACAGAGAGACTGAGCAGCGCCTATGAAAACAAATGGTGAGTAAAAGACAAAGAACTCAGGTGAAAATGACTAAATGCTACCCTCAGAAAGTAGGAGCTGTGTTGTATTTATTCATGAGGACAATGTCAACAGTATGATCAAGACTGATTTTAAAAAGCTACTTTTATTCTTTTATTCTATATAAAATGCAGACTGTAACAATCTTTTGCCTAAACTAATCAAAATTAATGACTGACTGATCAACCTTCTACATTCTTAGATCGGGTGTTATAGAGGATGTTTTATCAATCTCCACTAATGAACTGAACCAATCATACTTGAATGGCAGTTATAACATCAATTTCCTATAAAAATTAATTAATGGACTGGATAAACTTCACAATATTCTGTGCTAGTTGCTTAAAGGCGTATTTCATGAATCTTCAAAGTAACAAGAAGATAGCAGGTTCGTGTGTTCAAAATATGGTTCACATTGTTCTTGTTACTAAAAAAATTGGTTATTTTAAGAGCATCCCACTGAAATCCTTAATTTTTTTAACAAATACAAGATTTCCCACTGTTTCAAGTGACAACTATTAGAACTCTGTAATTGCAATTATTTATCAGGATTCTATCCAACATTTATGATTTCCTCTAAAGACAGTACAAGCAGATCTTATAAAAAGCCTCTGCTAGCATACAGATAACAACAATGGAGGCTTAATCATTTTTGCTATAGCAACCACTGCATTGCAATTACCATAGTGACATGAGAAGAAGAGAAAAAGTAATAATGAAGAGCTCTAACTGTTTGCAGCAATGTGTCAGCCAAATAAGTGCAGAATTCTCTAGTGCCTGCCTCTGCTCACCTTAATTAACTGAAATGCCATTTGTAATAACTATACCATAAAGCATGTCTTATTTATTTTTAAAAGAGCAATACAAATACGTCAATTGTTCCCAGTCCTTTCATTAGGTAATGTGCAAATCCTTACTATCATGTAACAGAGGGGAGTGCTACTTAGAATGCTAGACTCACAGAATAGTTAGGGTTGGAAAGGACCTTAAGATCATCAAGTTCCAACCCCCCTGCCATGGGCAGGGACACCTTGCACTAAACCATATCACCCAAGGCCTCGTCCAACCTGGCCTTGAACACTGCCAGGGATGGAGCATTCACAACCTCCCTGGGCAACCTATTCCAGTGCCTCACCACCCTAACAGGAAAGAATTTCCTCCTTATATCCAATCTAAACTTCCCCTGTTTAAGTTTTAATCCATTACCCCTTGTCCTACCACTACAGTTCCTAATGAAGAGTCCATTCCCAGTATCCCTATATGCCCCCTTCAGATACTGGAAGGCTGCTCTGAGGTCTCCATGCAGCCTTCTCTTCTCCAGGCTAAACAGCCCCAACTTTCTCAGCCGATCTTCATATGGGAGGTGCTCCGGTTCCCTGATCATCCTCGTGGCCCTCCTCTGGACTTGTTCCAACAGTTCCATGTCCTTTTTATGTTGAGGACACCAGAACTGCAGACAATACTCCAGGTGAGGTCTCACCTGGAGTATTTGGTGAGGCACTGGAATAGGTTGTCCAGGGAGGTTGTGAATGCTCCATCCCTGGCAGTGTTTTGCATATTTGCCTTATTGTTAGACTGGTGCAGAAAAAAAAAAAAAAAAAAAAAAAAAACACAAAAAAAACATGAGCAGAACTCAAGATCCTCCTTTGCATTTGAAATTTTTTGTCCTGATTACTTTAAATTAATGCTGGGAAGATGGAAAAAATAAATAAATTGATGCACTACTCTGTTTCCTACCCACTGTTAGAAGAAAGATTAAAGTCATGATAGCCTTCGATAAATTTGAAAACATAGTTCTGAGTATTTTCGTAGTTGTCAGAATAAAATTGTTTCTCTATCAACGCACACACCTACATGTATAACAATCTTTTAACTTGCTTAGGAAAATTAATGGGCAGAAAGGCCATTAAAAATTAAAAGTCCCCATCCTTTACCCTGATGAACCCAAGTGATCTCGAATGTAGCTTAAGATGAGAGTGTGTATGCAGCTGTTCAGGAATTGGAAGCAAGACCCTCATACTGCAAGGTAGCCTCTCAGAGATGAAATGGCCGGGATCTTTCAGAACAACCAGCTCCGAAAAGTCAGTTCCTGAAAACCAGCATCTCTTCCCACAGATGATACTGATGGTTCCTTGCCTCTCCATCTGCTTTGTCATATATTCTGTCCCTCTACATTTATTTGCATGCACTTGTTAAGTCCCTGCATGCCTCCCATTGTATTCAACCTTACTAGAAAGATTGCTCCATAACTGCCTCATGTTAGTGCTTTGCCTATTAATTTGATTGTAATTAGCAGAGCAGAGTATTAAACAGCTGGTGATGGAACTCCAAAATTGCAGAATCCCATAGCTAAACTAGCTGTACCAGCCACTGTCTTTCACAACCTTAGCTGTACCAAAACCACACAGTGCCCCACACTGCTGTAATCACTGTGCATTCAATTTATTCACATTTTCAAAATTTTAACTTCAATATTTGAACAGTTTGACTTCTCTTTGCAAAGATATCCCAGGGTTTATTAAAATCCCATTAACTGTCATAAAGTTCTAAAATTATGATATGTCATTCAGGTTCATTAGCTACCTAACAGATAAAATTATAGTACATGAAGATTGCTTTCCACATTGCCCTTGTAAAAACAAAATAAATGTATTTTCTACTGATTTCTACTTATCACCTATTAAGACACATTATTCAGAACATCAGCTTGGAAAATGGTTACCAAAAACCCCAACACATTAACACTTTTTTTTTATAAACTGCAAAACCTGTATCATCAGAGATTATACACACAAGTGGTTATATCTATAGATCATCAGTAAAAGGTTCTAGAAAACATGTTAAACATTTCACAGAAGAACGTAAAGTCCAGCTTCTACCTTACTTCAGTTACTATAGATCCGTAAACCTATTCGTAGTCAATAGATGAGGATGTAAGGATAATTAACTACCCAGCAGAGGTGCCTTCTAGTTATCTGTCAGTGAACTGCTTTGCTAGAACTCTTAAGAATACTTCTTAATGGCAGCATAGAGCAAGAAAACCAGACTCTGGGCCTAATATAGACTCTGGCTTTTGATTTAAACCACTGTAATTTTCTTTAAAAGAGATTTTAAACCAAAAAGTTTACCACTTGACAACAGTTAAAGACAGGCTTAGTCTCACAATTAAAAAGTGTATTAAAAATTAAGTTACTATATTTATACAATAAATTATTTACATTCAATACTGTTAGCAGAATTGGGCCTGTAGCACTCTTCCTTGAGTTGCAAAATTCTTATTTAAATGCACAGAAAAGAAAGGGGTTTTTTGACTACAAACACAAAATTTCCAGTTCTCCATAACATGACACACATTGATAAGCCATAACTGACTGAAAATGCACATTCCAGTAGAAAAATACAGGCTTTTGCTAATCCCTACAAAAATAGCTTTATAAATAAATTCAGTTTTTCTTCGGTCCAAAAGCCTTCCAGAATTTTCAATTAAAACCACTTAAGTTTTATCATGTTTCAGCAATATTTACAAGTAGTTTTTAATTAATTTACATGTTGGCTATATTAGTTTGTACAACTGAAGAATTTATGAATATTTATTCAATAACTTCTGAACAAGATTACAGGGAAAAAAATAGTAACTAAATACATCTGGTAAAAGTGACTTTGGCGTTGTACCATGGTTCAAAGCAACGGTCCTTACGTGTGGTATTCAAAAGTAGACATATGCGATGCAGAATGTACTGGGATAGCAAAGTTGAATTAGGTTTCATTTATTAATAATTAGTCCCAGATATTTCAAGATTTACAGACAAACAGATATAACAGTTCAAAGTAAAAAAAACCCAAAACCAAACAAACACCCCCCCCCAAAAAAAAACCAAACCAAAACCAAACAAACCTTTTAGACCTAAATATCTTTATTTGTTCTTTGATTTAGAGTATTTAATCAAAACATGCAAAAAAAAAAAAAACATTCAGGATAGTTTAGAAGAACAGAACTCACCAAAATCTGCAAACACGGACTGTCCAACAACTTTCACACCACTAGGCATTTTCTGAATTTTTTCAGCTTTAGAGAAGTTCCCATCCTATCAGACAGGACAAAGATGGAAGAAAAACTGAACTGCAGACTAAGGGATAAGATCTGACTTTTGAAGTAAAAGGCAAAAAGTGCTGAAGCAGATAAAGAGACATCTCAGCTATGGAAAAAAATGTGCTATTTGAAATTTGGGACTGAATTTTTGTATTTCTAATCCTTCATGGAAACTTATGGAAATCCAGTAACAGTAATATTCAGATACTAATTGACCATATATTTTGCTGTACTATGCAGAACAGATCGGGTTATTTCAGCAACACAATCTAAATCATAATTAAGCGATTGTGCATACTAATGTGTATTTATGCATACTGATGTGATTTTATAGATATGTGCACACAAAAACCCCAAACCTGCACACCTGTTAAAAATAACTTCTGATCCTCCTAATTAGGAAATAACTTGATTTTACATTATGTCTGGTTTAGGTCTCATTTTGTATGTCTATTATTAAAACCTAGGTCTGCAGAGAACAATATTCCAATACTTCATCACAACAACAAGAGAGGAGTGTTGGCTAGATCCTTGTTTATCATAGACCTGGATCACAACTGAAAGAAAACCATTTAAAATGTTAAGTTTTCATAGACATTTGAGAGGATGTAAGGCCCACTTTTCTAGTCATTGCAATCAGCTCATATCAAGTTCTCTGCACACAGGTATACATGAAGCCATTGAGACAAATGACAGTTTTGTGGATTTTGTGTAATTATCCATATTGCTTATTCATGGCATACTCTGTCTGCAGACTCCAGTGCTGCTGAAGATGCAACTCTGGAAACTGTTAGTACATGAATGTTTGACTATTTATCTTTACCTTGACATATGTTTTACAGTGACTCTGATGAGGAGGTGGAGAGAAGCTGCAAATCATCTCCAAACAGAAAAGATGACCACGCCCTGTGCTCAGTTGGCCAGAAAAGCATATGTCATATAGGCAAATATTTTTCAGTTCATTTTATGGTGCATCAGTACAACAAAATACATTGCCTATGTTTGTAGAGCCATTTAACAGCTTTTAATGGATTAATTCATATATATTAAGATTGATATATATGTACATGTTTTATATGTATGACATGTTTACTGTGTTGAGTGATTGCATAAAATAAAATTCCTTCTTTCTAAACACAGGAAAATCTATGCATGCAAAATTTATCATGTAGGATAATATTTACAATACGTGAGTTTGGAAAAAAAAAAAATTAAGAAAATTTTGAAAAAAGAACTAACCTACAGGAGACAAGTCTAAAGCTTGTGTAATTACTAACATTTAATTTCATAAGAATGAAATTAATCAAAGTAAAAAACTGTTCATTTTTAAAGTCTACATAAAAGCTAGAAATACAGAATTCGTGACCTACTGCTGTAAAAAAAAAAAAAAGTGTCTAGTACAGCTTTCACTACTTTTCATTACTTCTGCCTCTCTTTTTTTTTTTCCTCCTTTCCTCCACTTCAGCAGTTCTGTTGTCTTCTCTACAGTGACTCACTGCCATATAATGGATAAATTTTCAGGCAAATAAAGCCTAAAAAACCAATTCCTTAACTAATAAGAAACATGTGAAACACCTCCTATTATAACAAACAAGTAAACTTTTAACATACACATGCTATGATTCTTAATTATAGTCCTTTTGGATAACAGATTTAATATAAAGGATACATTTAGTTTCAAATCAACTGATTTCATTAACTGTTAATAACAATGAGGTTCTTCACTAATCCCTGCCCAAGTCAAGCAATACAAAAGCAGAATCTCCATAAATAAATAAAAACAACCCACTGACCTATTGCTTCCCAACCCTGAACTGAATTTGTGGTGTTTGGTTAATGTAGAACTTGGGATTTTCTCAACTCTGACTTGCATACATACTGTAACTGTGAACTTCTGTCCCACAAAATCTTATCCAAGACGTGAAGTCATAGCTCTAAGAAAGCTTAAAAGAAATCAGCTCTTCCAGATAGTAAGTATAAATAAATCTGATCAGCTGTTTCTTCATAAATTACCACGCTAAGTATCAGTAACCTAGAAGAGCTGATGACACAGCAGGAGTCCAGCTAAGGTGAATGAAGGCAATCTGATTGAATTACTTAACAGTCACATTAAAAAAATCTGCAGAGGAGCTTATGCTGAGAAAAACATCTCCAGTGATATTCTGGAGTCTAAATGAAATAGTGCAGTTAGTGCCTCAACATCAGTTCCACTCATTCCTGAAACAATAAATATCAGGTAACTTTTTTCTTTTTTTTTTTAAGCTTCTCTGTATTTTAACAGAATGATTGAGTTTTCACTCTTACCTTATTTACCCATGTCTCAAACTGAATGTTTTCTGAATTTGGTAATGTAGTAAGGAACAAATCTGCAAGGAAAAAGGTAACAGAAATAAAACATTTAACATTAGACTACACACATAAATATTTGATCACTTAATAAAGATACATATTTAAAATGTATTACCTGTAAGTTATAAATATATTAAAACCCAGTGATATTTAGATGTATATATATATTAAGCAAGAAAGATTAAACACAAAAAACTCCACCTATCCCCCCCTCCAAAAAAACCCCAACAAACAAAAACCCAAACAAACAAACAAAAAAACCCCACGCCACAACACCAACTATTTTTATCACCAGATACTATTCTGTATAATCAATATACTTTTGGCACTGTTCTGCATTTTATAGTTTCTGCACAAATTAATTATGCATTATGAGCTATTAAGTGCTGGATATTATATATGCACACTGAAGAACATTTCTTAATGGTAAAGAGAGACAGACCTCAAAGCTAGAAAAAAGTATACATATTTTTGACTTACTAAAAATATGATTTTTTTTACTTACTAAAAACATAAAATGCTACCAAACATGTTTATAATCTGTGGATGCTGAATTAAGCAACAGATATACTGTTGACAAGAGTAGAAAAGGAGATGGAGAACTATTTCAGGCTTAACCCTAGTTTTGAGACACAGCCATTATGACCTCACTCCAGTACTGATGAATTGCTCATAACAGTATGGATGGTTACTGTATATCACACACACGTTTTGTAAAAGCATGTAACAGATTTGCAATGGATTTTTCTTATGCATTTGAAAAAATAAAAAGTTTTTTTTCCATTCTTAGTCTGAAGCATATTACATCAGGTTTTCTTTGCCTTCCTCATTTAATCTGATTTTGTAGTAAGTGTAGAGAAATATTGAGAAATATGGCTGCACAGGGAACTGAAATAATGCAGAAAGGTAAGAAATAACAGGTATATAAAAACCCAGATGTTGGGACCAGAATCAAAAGTATCTTTAAAATAAACACTAAGTAAAAAAAAAAAGGGGTGATGTCACACAATAAAGCCAAAGAGTACATTTAGCTAGCTGCAGTGTAGGAGGAATAAGTAAGGATACTAAAATGCAAGTCAAACTACAGAGCTACTAGAAATATGGTAACTTAAAACATTTAAACTGTTTACAACGTTCAGTATGTGGAGGTGCTTACAGATTTAACATCTTTGTTCAGCTGCTGTACAAACCAGGTACCTGCATGTGAACATTTGTTCCGCATTTTGAGAGAAAATAGAGCTATGTTTTCAGATTCTTATTAGAACTACAAGAAAATAGCAATAAAATATAACTATATGGAATCTGCTCCATGTTCTCTTCTGATTATTCTTGTTATTTTCCTTCGCTTCTGAGTGTTATAAAAACTGCTACTATTTATAGATGGAGGGTTCATTTCACTAATGACTGATTTGACCTTTCTGTTTAATGTCAGAGGGCTTTATTTCAGAATTACACTCCTCAGCATCTACAGTTGTCTTCAGAAGTCACCAGGGCATAAGCAACATTCTTAAGTTACAGCTTGATTTCACATTTACATGTAGGGAAGTAGGGAAAAAACCACAACCAACCAACCCTTTTTTAAAGGCAATCAAAATGCACAAAGTATTACCCGGTTAGGACAGGCAGACACGTACACTCCAAACATGCCTAAACATTTTTTTTTTAATTAATGTGGCAGAACAGGTGTGTGTGCATGCTTTTTAACCAGAAGTTACTCGTGGATATGAGCTCGCCTGCTTGTATGACTCACTACACATAAATTATGTGCTGATGTAAAAATCTCTGCATTTTAGTGTGCTGACAGCATGGGAAAGGAAACAATTGTGTCAAAATCATTAAATGTCATAAATCCTAAGGTCAAGTAAAAGGTAACTTCGCTACAATAGAAATCTTCTTCTGCCTACATCACAGACTGACCCACCAGTAGAAAAAAAGTATTTAAGAGCTAGATTAAAAATGTTATTTACAGTTGTTTCAGTTGTATGTATACAATTAGTTGTGCAGTAATTTTAATACGCACAATTTTGTACAAAAAAGTTAGCGTAGTCAGTTTTATTTCTCTACAAGGAATCAGAAAACCAAACCTGACCAACAGAATCACAAAACTGTTTGGTTTTTTGAGCAGGTAGAAAAACTCTCTACCATATCATATTCGGATTGGTTTGCAAGTTGGCATTAGTACAGTAGTAGAGAAAATTAATATATGTACTGCCTACCTAAAGCTATATACAATATAGATAAAGTACCAATGCTAATGAGTTTGCTGTTCACTTGTCATGAATTTTCAGTGCTAGTTACACCAACACCTACTAGTGAAGGAACCACGCCTTCCAGTAACAACTTCCTCTGAAAAAATTAAACAAAAGGACTTTATATGTTCCAAACAAGCTAATTTGTGTTTGCAAATTTTTAAATGTGCTTGTAATAAACGAGGTTGTGAATTTACCCTGTCTTTCTAATGGGTCTTTCATAATTTAGTAAGTGGTTACTGGAACTATTTAGTAATGTTGATGATAATTATAGACAACATAGGCACTAAAATCCCTTCCCTTATTAAAAATTACTACAGAAAAGAATCCATATGTATTAATTTTAAAACACCACAGGGAAAAAAATTATATTTATACTGAATAGTTATGCTTCTGAACAGGCAGAGCAGGTGGAAATATTCCTCTGGTTTTTAGCACTTCACGCATGAGTTTTCTTACAGAAACTCCTGTTTATTTTCAGAATAAAGGCAACAATATTGTTTCAAGCAATAGGAGATGACCATTCAGTGTTAAAGTGTGCTTTCAGAATCCATTTTCACATTCATGCTTTCTCAACAAAATGCTGTTTGAGGCATATCCAATTTACTTCTTACAAATAGTAAGTTATGAATTCCCACAAAAAATCATATTAGTACCTCCTGGTGTACATATCAGTAAAAATTTAGAAACAGAATAGCTTTTGAGATCCTTCATACTTCTTTTAATTTTAAAATTAAAACTGTCAAGTGGATAAGTTGATTTAGAAAGAAGAAAAGAAACAACAGGTCACAAGTTGTTTTAGAAAGAATGGGGAAAAATTAAGTTAAAATAGCTATTCCTTTTCCCTAGAAGTCTCTGCTTGTTCTTTAATTTAACTCTCTTTGTGAGGCAAGCAATGAATAACAAAAATGGTATTGTCAAAGTAGACCAATCTCAGCATCATGAGCAGATGCAGCTAATTTGGCAATTCTGGTTTCATCTCTTGAGCAGGAACTTCCAGTGGTACTGAACACTGTACAGGACTAAGTGGGAAATAGAGGTAATAGGAGATCATGTCACACAGAGCATTTTTAATTAGAGATAACAAATCTGTAAATTATGAAAATAAAAGCAATAAAAACCAAAGAAAATGTTATAGAGACAAAGTGAGATTCTCTAAAATAGATCTTATGTATCTTTCATGATACATTTTTGTCTCCGTTATTTGCTGTAAAACTTTCAGGTAAGCTCTCATAATAGAGCTTAAAATAGTTAAGAAATTAAAAAATGTACCTGTTCAAGAAATGAAATACTGCTGTGGCATTATTTAGTATTTGTTCTGGAGAAAAAAAAAAAAAAAAAGGTAGGGGGCAAAAGCAGAGAGAGCAATTTGACTTCCAACACATACACACAAAGTTTTAAAATGCCACTCAAGTTTTAAAAGGCCAGTTCATTTGTTTGCAAACATAATGAAAGGGGTTATTTTATTAGAGAATAAATGCAGATCTATTGCATTAAATAAGCTTTAATTATAACATACAGAGAGTCTACAAGCTTCCATCAAGAGGAAACTCACCAAAAATATAATCAGTGTATGACATCAAGCATTGCCATGTCTTCAAAATTCAGGTTTAAATGGTTACAACAGAAATATCACCCATGATTTGAATGACTGGTAGAGAAGAAAACTATCTACATTTATTTTTTTAAACTTAGTAAGAATTAAAAAGAAAACACACTGTAAATGTTCTGGTATATTAGGTTTCTGGATTCCCAACACAACACTCCATAAGAAAATTAACCATCAGAAATAATTAAAGAGACTAGCAATTAGCTTATAGCAAGCTGTTTATGACTAATGTTTTTTCCACTTAAGCTTTCCCAAAATCAAATTTATGATTTTTCCTTCATTTTATATAAACAGTTCCTGAGTTATCTGCAATTATACACACCATGTGCTAGCGTTCAACACAAGGCAGGTTGTAAAAGCAGTTATTTTCAAAATTTGGGATCATGTAACCAGATAAGACAGATTTAATACATTAGCTATTTTTTTTTTAGCATTAGCAAGGATACATTGCCCGATGTACAGTATGATGTTACAGTATGAGTCAGAATCCAAGCCAGTTTGTCTCACACGTTTTAATGTTTTACAAGTATCTGCAGTGTCATGGCCTGAGTTTTTGTTAGGAGGCTTGCAACTTTTGAGTGCATACAAATTTATTGTTTGATAATAATTACTTAGGAAAAAAAGATTAAGTACTACAATTTTGGCTTAGAAAGGCTGCATTACCCCTAAATGAACATCTGATATTTTAAGGTGTTTGAAATAGAACCAATTAAGTTAACTTATTCAAGTTAACTAATCAGAAAAAAATTTACACGTAGCAAAAATAATTGCTATCCTAAAGTTATATACTGTACAAATACTTCTTAACTCATGCAATGTACGTTTTTCAGTTTGAGGACATGATGTTTGTAAGAAAGATCTCTTGAAGAGGTTGCTTTGGAAATGCTCACCTGGAATTTCATGCTCTATAAAATACACCTGCTGTTAATCTGTTCAGACAAGCCTATTATTACTAGCTTCAAGATTATTTTCTTAAGCTAGCTGTCAAAACCAGCTCATAACACATATAAGTATTACTATCCTATCGAGAGCCACAACACTATGATCTTATTTTTCAGTCTCAGTTCACATACAGAAAGTAACATTGATGGTAGGTAGGCTGACTACACCATTTCCAGACTTCCTTTCCAACCTCAGCCATTCTGTGAACTAGGTATTCCTCCCTGGAGCAACACATTTAATATACATGCAGAAAACACTTGAAAATGTTTCATTTACTTCACCTTTACCTGTAAAGCACATATAAACCCTTTGGTAAAAATTTCATGCTGCAAATTTTTGCACAGATTAAATAAAATTCCTGGCCTACTCAAAATTATTTACTGATTTTAAAATTCTAAAAGTCAAGATTTCTACATGAGGATGCTTTAAAAAAAAAACCACAAACCAGCAGCAGCATTATCATCTGAAACAGCCTAGGTTTTATCTCACCAAGAAAGATTAGTATTATCTTTGTTCTGTTTAGTGGATTTCTGCATTAGAAAGTCCTTACACAGTTAGGCTTTCATGAAGCACTGTTAGGGATTAAAAACATCTTTATGAACATGTTCTCATGTAATAAAAATGTAACAATTCAACTTTATTTTTATCTGGAGAGAAGCATGTCAGTTAAAAGCTCTCTTTTGAGGGTTTAATACCAGCAGGTTGAAAATAGGTTAGACAATAAACCAGCAAAAAGATTCAGCCCTGAGAGGATTTTTTCTTTTTTGATGTCAAGCACACTTTAAATCTCCCAAGCTTTTTATAATGATAGAGTTGCCAAAAATAGTCCAGCTAAAAATCATGGAATTGGCTGCATCTATTACAGAAAACAAAGAGCTCCAAAACATTGCAGAATATTAGGAAAAAGTCTTAATGAAAAACCAACCCAGAAACCCAACGACTAAAGATGGCATATTCTGGAGGTTTGATTTTCATCATGTAAGAAAAACAACAAAACAGTGTATCCATTTTAGGTATAACTATATTTTCATATTCATAAATAGTATCATTGCCTGTGAGCAAATACGCTGAATCTTTCAATCAAAACGTATCACAGCGGCATCAAATGGACAACAGTATTTCACCATGCAGACTGTTCCTCTGCATCCACATCAATGCCTGCCTCTTAAGTAATACAATTTTTAGGTGTACCAAAACCCATTCTTAGTCAAGTTTTGTTCCAACTCAAGAATGGTAGTGCAGGTGAATACCGAGACAAATAATCCTCTTCTGTTCACTAGTTCTACCTGAACCAACCTGTAAGTAATAGATTCCTCTGAAAAATAACAGTATGATTCACACTCGTCTTTCCTGGTGTAGTTAGGCTGCACTGCCCCAGCTAAGCTGACAAGGAACAAAACTAGACAAAGATGAGAGCATTTAGCAATCTTCTGAAAAGTCTATTCAGTCTGCAGAGCAAGACAGAACTAAGCATAGGCATACTAAAGTAATATCAGCACCTTATTTTGGCCCTGTTTGGCAGAACACATTTAGAATCACAGCACTGCCAGTACTGTATAGATATTTATATACAAAGATGGGATGTTTGTTTTGCTTTGTTTTTTTTAATTTATATCAGCTGACTACTTTTATGACAACTGCTATGAGTCACCTGCCCCACTCTGTACAAACACAAATTAAAGGAGACATGGAGAGAACACTAAACGGGTATTTTTTGGAAAAGGCACAATGAAACTCAAGGTACAATTTCATGCTTGGTTAAAGGCAGGCTACAGCTACTGCTACTGAAAGAGAAGTAAACCTTCTCTGTGCTTACATTAGCTCTGGCAATCCTGAAGCTGCACAGCAAGCTAGATCAGCTTAGCTCCAGTGAAAATGAACTGCATTACCTGCCAGCCATAAGATATCACTGATAAGCTATTATTTTTTAGCAACATGTGCCTTGTGCACAGTTGGTCCAATTTTCATAGGGAGAGCGAAAAAAACCCAGCAATCTACCATTTCCATCTTGGAAGAAAAATACTATTTTAAAGAAAATTATTATATTACTATTATTTTCTCAGGTTTTCTTCTCAGAATGACTTCTTTTCATAGAAACTTTTATTCATGTCTTGATATACGAATATAGATGGGAGTCTGTAAAAGCTCCTAGCATTCCCCACACAAAGATTCAGACTTTCTTTTCTGCTTCATAGAGGAACTTCTGTGTGTAATTAGCACTCACTGGAACTCTCTGGACATTCTTTAGGCTGTTAGCAGACATAGAAACCTGTGTACTCTTGCAAAAATTGCGCAATCTGTGATTGATCTTTGGAAGCAACTTTGAGTTCCTATCTTTACCTACCTATGAGTTTAGATTTAAATATATTTATCTTCAAATGCTACTTGGAATGTTCATCTATGCTGCCCATGCCACTAAAATAAAATTCCAAAGTGTTTTTAGAACTAGATGTGTTAGAATTGCTTATAACCTTACACTCATTAGGGTAAGCAGCTGTATATTTAATTTTCCAGTTGGAATTTCCACTTGACAGCTCATGCAGCAGTGTGCCAGAACTAAATATTAAGGTTTATCTATAAGCTAAAGCAATTAATTTAATCCCCAACATTTATAAGCATCTTAATTAAAATTATGGACTCTTTCCTCTCTTGTTCCCATGCTACTAAATAGGACAAAAAAATAAACTCTCTTTCCAAAATTACTATATATGAATTAACATACATTGCACATCTAGCAGAAGATAAAGCATTTCAGAACTGATTTACTGTGGGGGAAAAAAAATGATTAACACAACAATTAAATGTGCTTGGAGGTCTGAACCAGGTATTTAAGTGATAAATAGAGTCATAGAATCATAGAATAGTTAGGGTTGGAAAGGACCTCAAGATCACCAAGTTCCAACCCCCCTGCCATGGGCAGGGACACTTCACACTAAACCATATCACTCAAGGCCTCTTCCAACCTGACCTTGAACACCACCAGGGATGGAGCATTCACAGTCTCCCTGGGCAACCCATTCCAGTGCCTCACCACCCTAACAAGAAAGAATTTCCTCCTTATATCCAATCTAAACTTCCCCTGTTTAAGTTTTAACCCATTACCCCTTGTCCTATCACTACACTTCCTAATGAAGAGTCCCTCCCCAGCATCCCTATATGCCCCCTTCAGATACTGGAAGGCTGCTATGAGGTCTCCACACAGTTTTCTCCAGGCTGAACAGCCCCAACTTTCTCAGCCGATCTTCATACGGGAGGTGCTCCAGTCCCCTGATCATTCTCGTGGCCCCCCTCTGGACTTGTTCCAACAGTTCCATGTCCTTTTTATGTTGAGGACACCAGAACTGCACACAATACTCTAGGTGAGGTCTCATGAGAACAGAGTATAGATTCATTGTGTTAATTGAAGGCTAAATTGCATTGTGTATTTCCAAAAAACCCCCATCCAAAATTAGAATAAAAATATACAAACAAAAAACCCAAATTAAAACCACAACCACCAAAGGAAGAATACAGTTTAACTGCAACAAGAAAAGTTGTCTACAGTACTTGTTTTTGAATACTGAATTGTAAATAGCTTATTGGATTGCTTGTATACTAAAAGAAGAATAAAGACTGACATGATATTTTCTTAGTGATAGAATTAACAACACAAAATAGAATAAAGTCATATTGAGATTTTCAAGAAATAAATTCTAAATCCAGTCTTAAAAACATTCTTCTGAACAAACTACAAAACTATTTTCAGATTCAAGATGAGGAAAATGTAGACCTGCTTTCAATTCCAATTCCATTGCAAACTAAATTAGTACAGTATCAGGAAGAGGAAAATGCTTTAATGGTAAACGCAAAACAGTTCAGAGCAGTAACTGGAATACCAGCTCCAATTAAATTACCATCAAGAACTAGAAGATGTTACCAGGTTCCTAATTTTGGTAGTTACTGTTTTAAAACCCAGAATTTTCAAACCACCGATATTAAAATAAAATAATTTAAAATAAGAATTAAAAAATCAGAAGTAGTGAAGTCATATTCATTACAACATTCCAGAAGTGACTTCTTACAACCATCATAAGATACTAGAAGGAAACTGATATACATTACATTGTATACTTACCGATAAATATTTTTAAGGAATGTATTTAATGTTTTTAGGACTTACCAGCAGTGAAGTCGTTATTTAAATCCATAAACGCATGAGAGTGTGGTATATACATTTTATTTTGAGTTTCCAATGCAGCATGCCATGATAAGTTCCTATAGACAAGAATATAAAGCAATACATTTCATCAATGCTTAGGGATTGCTAATCGTAACAGACTTTTTTTTTTTTAATTTGAAACTTTAAATAAAATTGAACAGAAACCATGTTCTCCTAATACTAAGCTAAAATTCCTATTTAGCTTACACTATACTAAGTGACTAGCATAATTGCTTGAAAGGTTCTGACAAGGATAGCTCAGGGGTTTCAGTTAGATTTTATTAACTTTCTAAAGGATTTATTTTTTTGTACAGAGCAAATTGTCACTTCCACAAAATGAAATTTAGTGCCTAGACTTCAACTGTAAATCTTGAGACACTGATTACTATCCTCCCTAGTTTCCTGAAGCAGTTTTATTACCAGTACTTCTGAAATCAACTTTAGGATTAATAAAGATGAGCAAAAATGGACACAATCACATGCTGTTAGAACAGCTCATTGCTGCATGTAATTGGACTTTATTTGCAATCACGTAAAAAAATCAATACGAGAATTAAACTCTCACATTTTGATGACCTGCAGGCTAGTTATGTCATTTCCCACATAGGCCATACATTTATTTATAAATGTACTTGCCCTGATGGTTTATGCTCTAAAAATGACCGAACTTCTACCAAACCTTCCTATTAGCAGCACACTGGAATATACCAAATTGTCAAAAGTCACAGCGGTTGAATCATCAGATCAGTTACTTTCAGATTCCTTAGCTAATACACTCAGAAAAAATCTCAATATAGAATCATAGAATAGTTATGGTTGGAAAGGACCTTAAGATTATCTAGCTCTAACCCCCCTGCCATGGGCAGGGACACCTCACACTAAACCATGTCACCCAAGACTAAACCATGTCACCCACGAATATGCACTATGCAGTAGCAGGACAGCGATATGACTACAATCTAGAATCCTTTCTTTATTTCAGTGACATTGTATACATATTACTGATGTTCTAATGACTTTTAAAACGAGCTCGTGACTCATTTATGGTAAGAAACAAAAATGCTTCTGATTACTTCCCAGAGATCATAGAACTTAGTCTTGAAAATGCTTAAAAGAATCACTTAATCTTAAAGAAATAATTAAATATTTTGTATAGGCTTTTCCATGCATTCCATTCTGAAGGTAGCCAAGAAAGTTACATAGCTCTATAAATTTTAAAATGTTTCAGATTAATAACAGAAACATTCTAAGCAGATGACATAGAACTGTTGTCCACAAACAAGAAACTGCTTATGCTGTTATCTATAACATTCAAGTCTTATTGAGCTGTAATGAGTAACTTGTATCTCAATACTACTGAAAGGATTTCTTCAACAAAACAGAACAAATCTCTCAATTTTTTCCACATCTTCAAAAGTTCATAAAACTTTTCAATATACAATCATTGCAAGGTGTTCAGAAACACCCTTGTCAATTTGAAACCTGTGTTCCATAAGCAATCAATTTAAATAAGAGTAATGGTGATAAAATTCAAGGTGGGATTAAAGATCAAAACCATATTGCCAACACTGCTTATAGTTGCAATTTACACATTTAGATGTTGTTTACCCTATGCCACTTCTGAACCATCTTGGTGGGAAGGAAAATAGCCAGCCAGGAACAAGTATAGATTAACAAAACACATTGATGGGTGTGGGGTGGTTAAAGCCTTATTTCAACATTTTTAAAGGGCCATGGAAATACACAGCAGAAAGCCGATACATTGTTGCCACAGAGACAGCACAGTCATCTTATTGATTGCTACAGTAGTAACAGAATTCTTCTTGAAACAGTATCTAAAGGAAGCCACATAGGAATGCAAAGGTTTCTTAACACACCTTTGCTTTTAAAAGAAGTATTAAGTGTGGACTTTAGGCAAACCCAAAAAAGCTGTGCAGCCAAAGCCTGGATTTCTCCTGAAAGGCATGGAGCTGCAGGTTTCTGTTAAGGCTGCTAAGTAACAATCAAAACAATAAGTTCCAATTAAAAGCTGCAAAATAGCAAGCCAGGAGATGCAAAGTTCTTCAAACAACCATTTTAAAGGCTCAATCCTCTAAGAAAACACAAGCCTAGTACCTAATTTTTCCAGTAACTCATTGGAAATTATCTGTTACCAGTCAAAAGCAAATAGTTCAAAAAGAAAATGTTGAGAGTAGTTTTCATATTATTCGTAAAGCTAAGAACGTGTTTATTTTGACATTTACAATCCAACTCTCATCCTAAAAATTTCTGCTCTTTTGAGCACATTCTTTAACAACTAAGAGAAAAATCCTTAAATCAGGGAAAGAATTCTAGTTCATGTATCCTCTCTTTAAGGCTTTTTTTCTTTTTGAAAGAACTCCCAACCCACAACACTATTAATCAAGTTCTTTCTTACAAAAGTCAAAGACTGAACATACGCAAAGTTCAGTTTGGCAACAGTCACAGATGTACAAACCCAAATTTTTAGTTGTTAAGAAAAAAAAATTAAGGTCATCTGGTTCAATAATTAAGCTTTCACTAACTGAAGAGTCACACCAATGAGTGTTGTAACTGCTCTCAGAAGCCAAAGCTTTCTGTTCTTTTAATCAGATTACAAACTTTGAAAGCAGTTATCAGGAAAACTGAATAGATTGTGAACTGCCCTGCCCCAGGGTCCAGTAGCGTGTTTAACAAATAACTTATAACTTCTTTCCAAAAGACAGATTCGAAGTTCTTCGGCATCTTGCCCAGTATTAGAGATATTGCTACACTTCAAAAATTAGATGCAGAGTGCCACAGAATGTTTAAAGATACACACGGAAATGAGAAAAGATTCATGCGTCTGCAGTTCCAGTTAAAACATGAGCTTTATGCCTCTAAGAACAGAAGTAAATGCACAATGTTTAACTTACGAAATTTATGTAAATAAACAAACACTTAGCTTACCCGCGTATCAGTATCTGTGGCTTACTTGAATCACTTATCACACCAAAGACATCAGGAATCAAGTCTCCATTAAAGCTGAAAACACATAACTCTTTCAGTATCACTTTAGCCATTATAGGAGCTGAAATTAACTGTTCTTAAGTTAACTTGAACTTGTTTAGCTTTTTCCCTCCAAGTAATGATGACTTTTCAGCTGTGTAGCCTTTCCGAATTTTGGCTCTTGTCTGAGGGGCTGGTAGCTGTATGCCTCTTTGAGTACTTTACACTATACAATACATTTGATTTTCCAGCTGTATTTTCCAACCCCCCTCTTCTGTCCAGCATTTAACAAAGAAGTAAGCGCACTGTGAAAGGGATTATTTGCTCAGTCTGATAAATCAGTAGGGGTTTCACTTTACAAAACTCAACAAAAACTGAATGGCTATTTTTCTGCATAAAACAGAGTACTAAAATTAAAATCCAGTTACCATTGCCAGGATGATGTTACAGACAAGACTTGTAAAGATGGCTTGTGTTTTGTCATCTTCTGTTACACCACTCAACATTACAAATACAATGCTACTCTTAAAGAGCATGTGTTCTAAGTTCCAGCATTAAAACATATTTAAGTTGCTCAGTCACCATTACAAATGCTTTCTAAAAAAGTAGGTCATACTTACTCCATTACTAGAGGCTCATCCTGAAAAGTCTTATTTAACATAGTTTTATGGTGAAGATCTGAAAATAGAAAATATTACTTTGATTCAGTTACCAGTATCTTATTACATTTGTGTTTTTAACTTAGATGTAATTCTTCTATCAATTCACAACTGCAACCACATAGGCAAATGAAACTGAAATATTTGGGCTGAAGACAGTCTAAAATTTAACACAAGGCCTCTGTTTAACATTTTGTCACTGTAAAAGCCATACTTAAATCATATACACTGAGTGTCTGAAATAAGAATTAAAGGTAGACTGCCTAAATGGGAAATGAAGATTTTAAGTCCTGTTCAGGTTGTAACACCTCTGGGTTCACTTTTACTTGTAATCCAAACTCCTCGCCACATCATCTGTGTTTCCTTCATCTCTCCATGTTTCTCTTCTCTCCAGTTTCCATATTTTATGACAGTACCCTCTACTGACTTAGCTGTCATACTTCCATTACCCAAGTAGGCACCATATTCCTTCTCAGTAACCTCACTACATACCATCCACTGCCTGAGTTTTTTACCTCCGACTCCTTTTCTAAGCACCATATGCTCATTTGTGCCTCTCACAATATTTGATTATACAGAAGCAAGACAGTATAAATTAATTCAAATCCTTCACAATCTTCCCAGTGCTACAGATAACTCCTATTCTCTTAATCCTTGAATCAGTGCACTTTCCCAGGGTGCTTTTTCCACGATTAAATTCCTCCGATTAAAGCCAGAAGCAACGGTATCTAATACCATCACTTGCCTGAGCTGCAAATATTTTATAACACAGTTGTTTATAATAGTGATTACTTAGTTTTTGTGGATTTAAGAGTATTTTGCTTTCCATCCTCCTTAACAACCAGAACTCTTCCCAAAACCATTTCCTAGCAAAGTTGACAAAAAACAGGAGATTTCAAGAGTTCACACAGGTCATGACTCTACCCAAAGACAGAATCAGCTATATCTATTTATTTAGGCATGATATTTTTGAAGTTCATGAACTAAACTTTACAGCAGGTTCTCAGCACATTTTAAATCCAAGATAAGAGATAATCTTTCCAAGGCTGACATGCTCTGTGGTGAAGCTACAGGAAGCAGCTCTTCAGTTAGTAGGTTACTGTCAAACTGTAATAGTTTGGCTATGCCTTTTGCTCATTAGAGAAAGAATTTGGCTTTGTTTTCTTTCCTTAATTATTGAATACAGTTTAACAGCAAGATAACAGCAAGGTATGAATCCCTATTATAGCTGTTAAAACAACCACTACAATGCAAAATGAGTTTTAACTTTCTGACAACACTTTGAATTATTAGGAATTCTATTAATCTTATTAATAAGCAGTTTCAGCAACTCACCTAATGTTTGGTTGTGCCCCCAGAAAATAAACACTGAAAGTTCATCTCTGCCATGATTTTGTGCCCGGGTAGTCAGGAGGACATCCATTTGTGAATCACCATCATAATCTCCAGGAACTACGCTGGTTATAACAACACCGAGAGACCTAGAATTTAAAGCAAACAAAAAGCCCACATGCAAATGACTGAATGATAATTGAAACTGTATTTGTGCGTTCAAAGGCTTGCTTTTTTATCCCAATTGTTATGAGTTGGTCCAGTACAATCTTGGTTTTCATAAAGGTTTTATCTATTGCAAAAGGAACTTTAAATCAATATTCCGCAGGCTGTCCTCCTCTAAGGAAGGAAGACATTAGCTCTAAACTTTGGCTAACAGGCATTCCTCAGCCATATATTGCTTGGTAATGCTGTATAGACTTCTGCAAACCTTCATTTGTTGTAGAACCAGTCTTCAAAAATGTGTTGTGGTTGCATTCCAAGAGCAAGACCATAACACAACAGGAGCTGTTTAAATAGCAGGAGTCAGACAGGTAGCAGGATCTTTTTTAAGACAATGGCATCACCTCCTATCTTCTGCCATGTACTGCCTCTCCTCCCTAAATTTATTTGTTCTTTCTATCTTTTTTTACTTGGTTACCCACTCAGACTGTTTTACACATGCAAACATTGATCATTCTGTTAAGAATTAGAATCAGATAATTTCTAACTCACTAAACAAATTAGCTCCTTCCAAGATAGGAGGGAATAAATAAAAATATACAGAACTATAGATGAAGCTGAGCTACACACGCAGTTAAACTATTCATAGACAAAATACTAAGCATTATTCATAAGTGGTAACATATCCTGTAATATTCTTATGATTAAACTTATACATATGTACATAAACACACAGATTGTTTCACATTTATTAAAAACCAATGCTTTTTTAAAAGCTGTATCTAAAGGTTAGAAGGGAAACACAGAAATACCAGAACACCATTCTCCCCATCTCTTTCTAAAGCAGATGACATCGCCTTGATTTTATTAGTAACTAGAGCAACTAGAAGAATTTCCCTGAAAACACATCTTGGAACAGAGACTAATATTATCTGCCAAAAAGACCTAACCTGTGACATGGAATAATGGTTAGCTTTGCTAGGAAATAAAGTACCAAAAAAACAGGTCAACTGCAAAAATATTCCAAGATATTGGTATTTTTAATAGTAGTTAAAGGACCAAAAAAAGAAAGATAGAAATTCCATAGGAATAGGTGGTGCGCCTTCCTGCACCACCGAAGCCCGAAGCCCAAAGCCCCACTCCCTCCCGCCTCACTTACGGCAGCACGGGGGCGTGCCCAACACAACAGCTGCTCACTTCCGGGACTTACCCGATGGCTTTGCGACAATAGCGTCACGACCTCCGCTGGTTTCTTTACGGCTGTCGCCAGTAAGCGCGCGGAGGTCGCTGTGCAGCTGGGTGTGTGCGTGCGTGAGGCGGGAGCTGCTGTCCCGACGAGAATTCAGTGGCAGGGGTGGCGGGTCCTCACCGGCATGGCAGCGACGGCGGCAGCGGCAGCAGCCCATATGGCTGACGTGAGCTGGAAGATGTTGGAGCTGCGCGCTCGCTCTAAACGTTCAGGTCTGACCTCTTTGCTCCGGGTTCCCTCTTCTCGCCAGCTCCACCGCAAGTTCTTCGCGCCCCAGGAGGTTTTGGCCGACTTAGTCCTTGTGGCTGTCGTGCCCGGCGCGGGGCGGGGGCGGTTTCGCGGGGTCGTCCCTGGGCTGCCATCCCCGCTAGGGCAGACGCTCGGACCGGCGGGGCCTCCTGCCGCCATGCCCGAAGGGCGGTCGGGCCTCGCGCGGTGGCGAGCTATAGGTGGCTCGCAGGCCGCTGTACAGGTGGCTAGCTCTCACAGCCGTTTTTCAGCTGTTTCTAAGGTTGCCGAACAGGTGAAATATTTTAAAATTGGAGGCACGTACACCGAAGTGCCAGGTTTCCATTGGGTAAAGGCACTTATTTTTAGCATGGGAATTTTTTGTTCTGAACTTCTGGACTGCGTGGCAGCTATATGCTGGTCTAAATGACAGGATGATGTTTACTGCGTTGGCTTGAATTTCCAAAGTTAAAAAAAACACCTTTATATATTTTTTTTTGTTTTAATTAAACACAGCCTTAGTTAAGGTTTTATTGTCAATACTCTAATGGAAACAGTTTTCTAAACTATCTCTGTGGTGTTTAGTATGTGCTTGTAAAGCTTAGTCACTATTGCATTATTTGCAGTTAGCTCTGTTGTGGTAGTGACTGATCAGACGGTGAAAAAAACCTGGGCCTTTCTGAGGGCACTCATAAAGAGAATTGATTGATTGAAGACTGGTTTAATTCATATGGCTTTAAAGATTCTACTTATGTGTAGTATGAATTTGCAAAATACTGTGATTAAGACTATCCAGTAAATGAGTTATTGCTTTTGGCTAGTTATGACTGCATGGTATTGTTATCTGAAAATTGATTTACAAATGTAGCCCACAAAATAAAGTCTGGAACCTTCATGTTGGGTGTATGTGAACTCTGAGGCACAGGGCACCATGCCAACCTATGCAAATTAGACCTTGTGACTGCAGAAGGCATTTGGATAATTTTAAGTGCTTGAGTTTTCTACTTTTTTGCTAAATGAGTATGAAAGGGTATCCTATAAAAATGACAGGTTGTTATTGTAGTTCATTTTCTCTTCCTGTTTGTAGAGATTTTTGTCACTTAAACAGAACTGAAGAGGTGTTTTTTTTACTCAGGAAATAAAAATTATTTTAGTTGAAATGCTTTTCTGATAAAAGACTTGTTTTAAAATCAAATTTTGTACATAATCTTCCAGGTAACATTCTTGTCTAAAAATGCAAATCATGTTCTTGTGTCTCAAATTTACTCCTGCGTCTTCATAAGTATGCTAAAATTGGTTTAACTTCAGAGCTTTTATACTTAACCTTCTGACACTATCAGACACTATCAGAAAGTGGCATTATTGGTATAGTCATTAAAGGTGACTGAAACTCGACCATAATGTTTTGAATTGGCTGGGATCTGTGCTCCAGATTCACAGTTTGCAACCACAGCGGTCTGGTTTGGTTATTTTAGTATGATGCTTGGAGTAAGATATAATAAACATGGAATATCGACATGTATGCATGAAATGCATATGTCCATGTTTTGTAGTTGACAGCAAAGTATCTTTTAAAACTCTATGCTGTAGGAGGTAATCTGTATCTTCATGTTTATGTATTATGTTTTTGCCAGTAAAACCAAATTTAATTGAGATTTTTTTTTTTTTTTGCTACCTTGAGCAATAAAATACCCTTTTATTTGTTGCTGCTTTGATAATTAACTGTTAGGAGCAGATAAAAGCAGCACTAAGTATAAGCAGGATTTCAGCTCTCTTTATTATTACTTAACACTTTTATATGCACTAGTTAAATCAGTGTTTTTATTTTATCTTGAAATATATCAAATAGATTTTATTCAGCACCCTTTGACATCAGTGCAAATTTCCTGTTGAATAACAAAGCGACTGTCTCATGTCCATAAAATGGACTTTGTGCAGACTGACTTTGTCATTTTAGTCTGGCAAGTTTTAGGGAAGTAAAAGCAAAATAAAACAAATTTTTAGGGTAGAGAGAGAAATGTAAAATGTAATGACACTTTCCTATCCCTTTTGTTTTCACTCTGTCATATTAATAACATGCTTTAACTTAATTTAACGCTGCTTGCCTTTAACATGTACTAAACACTTCTCAAAATCACTGTAGCTTAGCCTGAGACGTTTGTGATTAGCTGCGCCAAATTGAAATGGCCAATTTGGATGATGACAGAACCGTCTCTGCGCATGCTTTTTCAAAATTTGGTAAGTGTGCAGTTGTGTGTTTTGGTTTTGTTTGTGGCTTTTTAACTCAACAAAAAAGAATTGTGTTTTGTGTTTCATGCAGTGTTTTGTGCTAGCAGTTATTAGAACTGTACAACAGAACCTAAAAATTTGAGCTCTTTCAGTGGAAATTTCTGAAAACTGGAATCTACTGAGGTTTGAGATCTACAGCTCAGATCTCATTTTGTTTGTGGTTTTTGTTCTTAGAAGTGTCTCAGTGGAACAGTTTCTGAACTAAAGTTTCTCTTTGTAAGATGATTGTCGTTTGAAAGGTGCACCAAGAATGGTGTTTAGCATTAACCCCTAAAAACCTCCTATATGACTGGTTTGGTGGAAAGAAGTAAAATCTCCAATAAGTCAGACACTGTTCCAAAGCTTGATTTTTGGAAACCACGTGGAGGCAAAATAAAGCCTCCTGGTGCAGCTTCTCTTTAAGTACAGCACAGGCTAGAATATATGATGTTGTCAAGGCTGTTAACTGATTTACCTCTACATATATATTGAAAAGAGTTTGACTGGAACAGATGCATCCACATGTGATACTGGCTGATCTGCGGAAAATGATGTAGGACTCTTGTTTAGTCTGTGTTGAAACACAGGAGCAACAAAGGTGCTAGGGAGACTAGCCAGGTAAGGGGATTTCAGCTGTCTCTTGCTAGAACTGAGTCACTTTAGCTACCCTGCCATGCCTGTGGCATTTCTGTTTTGCCTGTCTTAATGATACAGGACGTGTGAAGTACTGACATTGTAACAAAAACAATTTACTCTTTCCTAATTGTTTTACTGGTACTTGATGCTTATTATGCAAAATTATCATTTTTAGTAGTTTTAAGAGCTATTGTTTTGAGTTCTCAGAAGTGGCAGTGACTGCCTTGAGTATCCTGTATGGTTTCCTGTCTTGCTTGTAGCATTTACAGGCCTTGCTTTGCAGACTTTAGCATTTTGGTGTACTTTGATTATGAGAAGCTTCTGTGCACTGACATGATAGTCAATGTTTTATTTCTGGTGTTCATTAATTTTGATATGTTGTTAGTTATGGTAAATCCTGAAATCAGTAAGTTCTGTTAAGTTTAATGTACTGTAGAGAGAAATCACTTCACATGACTAATAAAGGACAGAATCAATTGATACATATTTTTTCTTTTTCCATGAAAGTCTAATTGAATTGTATGCACAGTCTAACACATTTTTCTTGATAAGTGGTAGTTGAAAACTTTGGTACTTTAATACTATTTAAATGAAACTACTACAAGGTTTTACTCATTTTAC